TGGGCCTCACGGGAGCCTGGGCAGTGGGCACTCGGCCATCGGTCCCTTTGCGCCTCGCTGGGCCTGGATCCCCGCCTCCCCCCGCTGGGCTCTGCGCCTGGGTTGCTGGGAGAGGCTGCGGCCTTCAGCGGGGAGGCCTGCTGGACTGGTGTTTCTGCAAATGGTTACTTGGAGGTGAGGTTTGAAAAAGATCAACAAAAAGAATACGTCCGGAGTGTCAGGTGCTAGCGTCAGCATTTCGGGGGCTGCATTTGTCCAGCCCTGGCCCGTGCTGGTACTTGGCGATGACACGTATGTGTTGGAAGTGGGTGGCCGCGTGCACTGATGCAGGCATGGAGGCCGACCCCCACTCCTCACCGCCTCGGAGCCTTCCCCTCCCGCTCCTGGCTCCCAGCTGTGTAGAGACCTGGACACGCACACGTGTGATGTGTGCATAGACGGGTGGGAGCCCGTGTGCAGTCCTAGAGCTGCCCCAAGGGAAGGGCCTGGCTGGTCAGCTTAGGCCACACCCCCACCAGCTGTGGTGCTGGAGGCGGGGTCTTGGGCGGGGCGCCGGGCAGCCACAGCGTGAGGCCTGGGGGTGCAGGGCCTCAGGACAGGCTGGCATTTTTGAGTGGGGCCAAGTCGGGTCAGAAAGCATCTGAGTAGGAATTGGGCCTGTGGAGCGTCCCCACAGGAGGCAAAGGGCATCCTCTCTGCCTCCTGTCCACGCAGCTGCCCCACGACTTGGCTGTTCTAGAACATCAAGGCTTGGGGTGCTCATTGCCGTCTGGGACGCTGCAGACAGCTCCATTGTGCAGCGCCGGTTCCAACCCTGGGGGGAGGGGGGGTAGAAAGCCGAGCTGCCTGCAGACCCGGCCCCAGCACCTCACACCTCATGTCATTCCCACTTCCCTGGGAGCTGGAGGCTTTTTTGACCCCTGGGTGTACCGTCTGCAGCCCGTGTGTGACTGCAGTGGGGTGATGTGGGCCACGGGCTGCCTGAGCAGGGTCTGGGGGATGGGAAGGTGGTCTGGTCAGCAGGGCTGCGGGGCCACCTCTCCCAGAAACCTTCCTCACTAGCCCAGCCTCGTGGCTTCCCCAGCACCTTGGGCACAGCTCTGAGGCCAGGTCCTCAGCTTCCCGCAGGGCCCTCCAGGCAGCAGGCTCCGTGCTGGCTTCTCAAGCTGCTTTCCCGGCTCCGCAGGGGCGAGAGGGCCCGGGACCGAGGTCCTGCAGGTCAGTGCAGCTGCGAATGGGGTCTCTCTAACCAGGACCAGCCCTGCTGCGTCAGCGCCTTTGCCCTGGGCCTGGGGGCCAGGCAGGGCGGCATCCCTCTGGGGCCTCCCAAACCGTGGGCCCCAGGACTCTGGCAGCTCGGCAGGGTGGCGCCCTCTATGGGAGAGGTGTCACTGTGCCTCGGGGGTGAGGGCTGGACCCAGTGGGGGAGTCGGCAGCCAGCGGGGCTCAGGGGCCATTCTCGTGTTGGCTGTGGCGTCGCTCCTGGTGCAGCCTCGGCCCGTCTCCTGCCTGCAGCCCCGGGCGGGCGGGCACCCTTCCTGAGCTGTGGGCTTGCGAGCTGGTTCTCAGAGGGAAGTGTCCCAACTCCCAGTGGCTTTTCTCCCGGGAGGGATGGGCGTTCGTTTGGGGGACCTCATGGAACGCGGGCCATCGGGAACCGGTGCTGAGGAAGTAGAGGTGGGCCCTGTGTCGCTCAGCTGTCCTGGGGGATCTGGCCGCAGGGCTGGGACCCCGGACGTCCCTGTGGGCGCTCGGCCCCATCCCCACACCGCTCCACGCCCAAGTGGCGCTCTGCTGCCCTCCGCTGTGGCCAGGCTCTGGGCGCTGCTCCTCTGGCCGGTGTGCCCTCTCCCCAGAGCCATCTGCCACCCTCACCTCAGAAGCCCGGCAGCCGGGACCTCCCGTGCGCTCCGCAGGCCGCTGCTCCCCTTGGTACGCGTTCTTGTCAGGGGCTCCACAGGGCGCCTCTGTCCCTGTCCGGCGGGGACCTGGGTGGCAGAGCGCCTTCTGCAGAAGGGAGGCAGGTTCTTAGGGCTCTAGCCACCGGGCGAGAGGTCTTGCTGTCTGTGCCTGGAGGGCCTTGCAGAGCTGGCTGGCTCTCAGCTCCTGGGGTGCGGCACCTGGCCGGCTGGTCCCGTCTGCGGGGCGTTGACAGCCCTGTCCTTGTGCTCAGGGCAGGGAGGCTCCCCCAGGCAGCGCTCTGGTGACGGACACTCGTGGTGTGGGCCTCCTCACCTTGCTCCTCATCCCTCAGCCCGCGGGTGCAGAGGGCGGGGCTGCGCTGGACCCTCCACAGCTCCGGTGGGCAGTGGGGCTCAGGCCCCAGCAGAGCGGATGGGAGGGCGCTCAGATGGCTCCTCCCAGGAAGTGCCCGGCTCAGTGTGCCTGAGCAGGGGGAGCTGGCCCCTCCTGGGATGTCGGTGGTGGGTCTGTGGTGCTCACCTCTGCTCCTCCAGCCACCTCGCCGCACGCCGCCTCAGGAGCAGCTTCTGGAAGGGCCCGCAGCCCCTGGGCCGCCTGTCTGACTGCCTCTAACCTGCTGCTTTCTCTCCATGCTGTCCTAGGAGGTCGGAGTGGAAGTAAGTACGCCTGCTCCTGCCGCGCTCCCGTCACCTGAGCCGGGGCCCCAGGGAGCGGCACTGCCCTTCCTCTTGCCCCGCACCCCTCAGGGCTTCGGGCCCCACTAGCCCTTGCCTCAGTCCTCAGGCCTAGTTGCGGCGTCCAGAGACTGACTTCCCCTCCCCTGAGCTGTGGCCACCAGAGCCCTGAGCACACCTGGGCTGGTGTCGGGGGCCAAGGAAGTGCTGAGACCAACAGGGTCTGGCAGGGCTTGGGCACTAGGGGCCAGCCTTGTGGGCTGAGCCAGAGGGGCCAGGCATCAGAGAGGTCAGAGGGCACATAAGCCCTGCCTGCTCATCCTGCTGCCCCTTCAGGGACAGTGAGTGATGTCACAATGCCCTGCCTTCTGGGCACAAGCTCCTGCCTCCCACCACTGCCTCTGCGGCCAGCCTCCCTTGGTAAGTGCTGCCACCAGCCTGGGCAGGAAGGTGCCAGGGGCATGTGCCTTAAAGGCCCCAACGTACCCCTGCAGGGGATAAGGGTCTCTCCCCAAAGTGCTTGGTCCCCGTGTCCATGGGCTTCCACTTCTGCTGGTGTTAGGAAGCGTGTGGGTCCAGGCGAGGAGGGGGAAGGGTTTGCCCTCGCGGCTGAAAGGCTGCCCTGCTCTGGAGACCTTGCCCCCTAGGTCTGAGGGCTGCCTGGCTCTGTGGGCCCCTGGGTCGATTGTTGCTTAGGCTCCACCAGTGACCCACAGAAGCCGGGGACGGTGGGGTGTCCTGAGGGAGGGCTGCAGCCCTGGCGAGTTAGCACTGGGTGTTGGTCAGGGTGCCTCCCTCTGCTCTGGGGAGCAGGCCCAGGGTGGGGCTGTGGCTGGGAGGCAAGCTCACAGCCACCTTCTAGGAAGGCCCCTGGGTGAACAGGGATCCCTGGCTGCGGGCCCAGGCCCCTCTGTTCCTGCTCGGTGGGGGCTGCCTCCCGTTTCTGGGCTGGTCCGCAGAGTGCCAGCCACCTTTCCACAGCGCCACGCCTGGCAGCAGGGGGGTGGGTGGTGAGGCTGTTGCCACGAGGGCGGCAGACAACGAAGGTCCCCTCCATGAGGAAGGTGGGGCTCAGCCCCCAGCTGCCTCCCACTGCCCACTGATGGTGCCCCTTACACCACGATGGCCACCTCAGAGACCGCCCAGTGCTTCCGTTAAAACCAGTGCCCGGAGGTGGTCGGGCTTAGCAAAGGCACAGGCCGTCCAGGGACCATTTCAGGTCAATAGTAACTGCCCGTGGACGTGAGTCTCCCTGTCTCATGGGCCAGGCTTGTTGGGAAGGGTGTTCCCGTGAGGGTCAGGCGGAGGGAGCGCGCTGGTTCCCCGGCATCCAGTCGGGGATTCTATCAGAAAAGGTTTCTGAGGTTTGGAAACCATCTTCTCTAGACCCCTTTGGAGAGCATGGTGCATGTTGGGTTAGAAAAGAAGCTTTGCGGTTAAAAGAATACAAATATTTATACACCCGTACGTGTATGTTACCCACTTACTGCTTCACTGAGGTCCCTGCGGGTTTGACTTGGGGTCCTGCATGTTGCCGGATGGCACCCCCCTTGGGAAGCATCCGCAGGGTCCTCCGGCACCAGCCAGGCTGCTGAGGGCGGGGCGGGCGCGGTCGCGGGGCGCTGTGCTCAACTGCCTTCTGTGCTTGCTTCCACTGCTGCGTGCAGATGAGGAGCGGCAAGGCCTCCTGTGCCCTGGAGACCGTCTGGGAGGACAAGCAGAAGCATGGGGAGGCCGAGCAGCGCGCCCACGAGCACCAGGCCACGCGAGCCGCCGCCGCTGCCCAGCAGCTCCCGGCTCAGGTGCCAGCCGTGAATGGGCCGGGGCCGGAGGACGCTGAGGCCCTGGACAGCAGCAGGGGCAGCCCCCGGAAGAGCCATTACGGGCGGCAGCCCCTGCAGAAGAAGCGGAAGCGCTCCCCGAAGAGCGGGCTGGGCAGGGCAGACCTGGCCCTCGTGGGCCTCTCGGCCGACCACGTCTGGCTGGACAAGCCGCTT